CACTATGTGGATCATTAACATAAAATTTGGGGGTGGATTGTGACGCCTCATAATTATTATTAATAAATAATAATTAAATTCATTATACAGACATTTAAAAATGTCATAGAAATTATAATTTAAACAATAAAATGCAAATAATAAGCATAGAGTTCAAAAATATCCATTTGGAATATTGAATATTATATATATTAGTAAACGCATAAAATGTCTCTAAAAATCTCTAAATTTATTAAAAACCTGCTTAAAATGTTCAAAATGTATCAAATCATATAAATACAAGGCGATTATATTGCAATAACAAAGATAAATAACATTTGTAACATAATAGAAAAAATGGATTAAAATTTTCTAAGTTGATGAAGGTGTTCGTGTAATAATTGGAAAATTTCTAAGTTAATGAACGTGTTCTTGTAATGTTCCCTTATATTGGGGCGTTGTCGGAGACACATACCCAAGGTTGTACATATATATGGGGTGGTCGGCTGACCGACTGCTAGTACTAAGGTTGCACAATGACTAGTCCTATATTAGGGACTTAACATAGTAAGGTCTGACGAACCAAAGCATTAATATAGAAGGTCTCTATGATGCATAAGCATTATGATAGCAGAGTTATGACTTGAAGTCCCATATGAATAAGACATACAGTAGTATGGTCTATGAAATAAAGCAAATATGTGGAAGGTCTCAAATATGTAAAAGCATTATATTGAAAGAAATGGGACTTGAAAAGGATTATTATAGTGGCGTGTAGGTTGCTTCGCAGCCTCTGAGACCGAAGTAAACTTGGACTCACTAACCGATGTGTCCTAGACATATCATCTTAGTGCCGGTGGTAAGCGGGTTTGTTGTAGCAATACGACTTGCCCGTGGACATCGCACACCCCTACCGGTTGTGGGCGGCGTCTTAGCGCATAGCGTTATGATACGTCGGCTATCTTTCGGATTAGGGTGAGTGTGTTTGGTAGTACTTTTAAGTGCAGCAAGCATACTCAACTTCATGTCTTAGTGCAATAGCGCTATGATACGTGGAGTATTGGCTACTGACGTCTTAGTACCGTGCCACTATGATACGTTGGTGGTATTTTTAGTTAACAACATTATCAAATTTTGTTACCAAAGTCGATAGGGATCATGTGGGTGTGTTGTGAGGGGGCGCCATCCGTATGATAGTTGCATTGATGCTTACTGCTACTTGCAGTATTGTGTCTTGTGATGGATCTGCGGGTGTGCTGCACCTGATTCGATGCATCTTGTGGTTCTGGTCGATGGAGGTATGCGGGTGGTGATGTCTGCTGGGACTGTATGGGGGACCTTGGGATGGTGTAAGCCCGACGATAGTCGTATTGATGCTTGTTGCATTCTGTAGCATTGCGTCTCTACGATGGTTGTTTGGCGGGTCGCTATTCTCAATGGCGCTCTCTGCGTCTTGGTTTGACTCACAACCTAAGTAGCTTTGCCCAAGTCGGGTCCCTTCATTGCGGGGCTGCAGACTGTCTGCCCTCCATGATGTTTTATATAACAACTTAATAATATATCTCTATAAAGTTCCCACCTTTGAGAGATTGAAGGCAACTTGTTGGTGGGTGAGACAAACATGATCGAAAAATGCATATACTCAACGTCAGTGACACAAACCCTTTCTGATGGCGAATTATTAATATTATCTTATAACTGCCTATTGGCTATATCTGCCATTGTATTGGTTGGTGGAGCATATGTGTTGACCTCATGCGGGTGGTAGCTGGAGGGAGAATCTGAGGAGGCTCTCAAGGCTGCGGCCGAAAGCCGCGCAACGTGGGACCCCATTCCCTTGAGGTGAGCGGTAGACTCATGACACGCTCTGCGGCCAATTGGCCGTGCTGACCATGCAATTGGTGGTGATGCCTTACACTTACATCACGTCTGCAGGAACGGCGGTCTGGCAGGTGGTGGCGCTCACGGAAGGCTTTTTATGGTCAGTGTGCCTATTGTTGCCTAACCCGTGTGACGTACATTCACTGTGGCTGGATTTGATCGTATTCTGTATGGTGTTTACACGCATTGACATGCGCGACTTCGGTCGATGTTTGTGCTTACGCACTATCAAGGGGCCAAGTCCTCTTTTACTGGTTCGCCAGTTATTTTGCTGTGGACTACGGTCCAGTTCCCAACTTTGCGTACCCTTCGGGGGGAGCGCATTAAAATGGTTGGCGCTCACCGTGCGCGGCGTGTGTGGGGCCGTGTACCTCCTCCACATTTTTTTTAAAATGTGGGAGAGCGAAGCCCTTGTAACTGGTATTTGATATAAATATTGTGAACCTTTTCCAAGCGGGAAGGGATTAATTAATAAATAATTGACTGTTGTGAACCAGATACAAGTGGAATAGGGACAATTTATTGTTCTTAACCTTTTTGAGCTCTGTCTTCGTGAACGGGGTTCTTTAGCTTATAAGACTCTACCAACAGCTTTCGATTGCTCTCGTGAATATTCATTCTTCCAAGATACACCTAAAAGAACTAAGTTACTATACAAACACAACGTAAAAAAGGGTCCTAACTAAGAGGATCACGCCATAAATTTATTAAACGGCCTATATTTAAACCTTTAGAAAGATCAAGTTATACTGGTCACGTAAATTAGATGTATTTATATATCTTACAGATATAGATTCTAAAGAAATACAAGTATAAGTGGGATATAGTAGAAAAGAAAAAAGATGGGGGGGGGTGGGGTGCATTACAATTTGGTGCCGTGACCAGGATAGAGGTTAAATTTTAAATAGGAGGCCGGTAATATAAAATTATGCGGTAGGCTATATGCCTACAATTTGTTGTCCGTGAAATGGAGAGGTGTCTTGGAGAGTGGTGTTTGCTGGGGGTGGTTGAGAGTCTGGGGGTGGGGCTTATATATTAAAATGGAGTAATAATATAGGAGGTGTGTGCATAACGGAGCGAAATAATAAAAAGTGAAATAAGTGGAAAGACTCAATTAGACTAAGTGAAGGACACAACAGGTGTAAAAAAAAAAAAAAAACTGCAATACTATATATTATAAAGTAAAATAAGTGGAAAAACTCAATTAAAGTAAGTGAAGGACACAAAAAGTGTAAAAAAAAAAAAAAAAAAAACAAGTGGTAATAAAAATTAAAAATGGCTAAAAATAAGAAAAAATCAACCTCTATTAAGGCTAAGCCTAAAGATGAGATGAAAATGCTTCAGAAATTAATTAAGAATGCAGTGAAAACCTTTGAGGTTAAAATAAAGGATCTTGAGGAAAAATTTATTAACCAAACGAAAGATTACCAAATTAAAATAAATCAAGGAGAGGTGTCCGGGGCGAGCACCTCTCATGTAAATGATCCTAGACAAAATATTGTATATAATGTACATAATGTAACAATAGAAAAGCCGAAATTCGGAAATGGAAATACTCATCCAGTATCATTTTTGGAAGATTTCACCAATTATTTAAAGAAAGTTCCATCTAATGGTCTCGAAATCTCGATAGCACAAGAGTGCTTAGTAGGTGAAGCCAAGTATTGGGCTCGCATTAATAATGTGCGTTGGACAACTTTTGATGATTTTAAAGCTGACTTCCTAAGAGTGTTTTGGGGTGAAGAAGAACAAAATAAAGTAAAGAGATTCCTTGTGCAAAATAAATGGAATAGAAGTACACACCCCACCATGGTTAGTTATTTTCTTTATGTGGTTGAGAAGGCACGAACATTATCATATCCGATACCTGAAAAACAATTAGTAACTGATGTCATCAGACATTATCCTAAAGCTGTGCAGCAATTATGGAGAATAGCTAAAATTGAGACAATAATAGACACGACAGATTTCTTAAGAAACTTAGATGACATCGACAAACAAGATGAAAGTCGTGAACCTTACTATAATGAGAAAAGGAGGAAGTTTAATAATAATACGGAGCAAAAACATAAAGAAATACAACAATCATACAAAACATGGCGTAAACCCGAAGAGGGAAAAAAAGAAGGTTAATGAAGTACATGAAATACATTTCACTAACGACCAACCTGATGTTACGGCCCCTGAGCCAAATTTAGAGCTGTAGAGGTCGAACTAGTTCCCGATTCGACCCCTTACAATGTAAAAGGGAACAAAGCATTAAATATGTTATTAAAACTGAGTTGGCGACCTGGTCAAACATTGGGTAAAAACAATAGAGGGTTGCGAAAACCTATTACTTTAAAAGCAAATTTTAACAGAGAAGGCCTTGGTTATAACGACAATGTAAATAGCATATTAAACACCTTAAAAGCCAGGTCGGACTTGCCCATAACGGAGTTATTCGTGCAAACCGTCTTCGAGGAAGACGAAGATAAATATCAAAGGGAATTTATAGGGAATATGAGATCTGAAATTAAAGTTTCAATATTTGACAAAGAAATAGACGCGCTCCTCGACACTGGGAGCGATGTTACATGCATTTCAGAAAGTTTATATTTACAAATTAAAGAAAATAATCGTAAAATATCAATAATGCCAGTTAAAGCAATGCAAATAAAAGGTGCTGTTGGGCAGCGCAGCACAAAAATACAACAGATGATCATATTGCCTATAAAGATAGATGAAGTAGTCTTTGAAACACAAACTTTAATTGTAGGTAATTTAATAAGACCTTTAATATTAGGCTTTGACTGGCTCAAGAGAAATAAAATATTGATTGATTTGAGAAATACTACTGTTGGAATAGAATTTAAAGTGAAAAACAAAGACTACTTTATACCTTTCAAATATAATAATAAATCTGTATTACATAATAACTGCATCAAACAATGTACCGATGATCCCTTAATAAATATAAAAATAGGATCTACATTGAAGGTCTCTGAAAGGGCAAACTTAGTAAGGTTTTGGAAAAGCATAAGAATATGTTTTCGAGCAAATTGGGAAGAGCCAATTGCTATGAGCATAAAATTGAAATGATCGATGATGAACCTATAGTTACTAGGTCCTATCACATTCCATATGCATATAGAGCGAAAATGGAAGAAAAGTTAAATGAAATGGAACAAGCTGGTATCATCACAAGGACATCAACGCCTTACAGTAGTCCATTGACATTCACTCTTAAAAAAGACGGCTCAATTAGAGTTCTGCTTGATGCCAGAAGCATAAATAAGGAAATGGTTGCAGAAACAGAGAAACCACCTATACAATTAGATGTTTTGAATTCATTTCACGGAGCGAATTATATCACTACCATTGACTTCAATAATGCATATTTTCAAATTCCGATAAATAAAGATGGTAGAAAATATACTGGATTCACATTCAATGGAAAGTCATATGTATATAATGTTTTGCCGCAAGGATTAAAAACATCAGTAGGAAGCTTTAGCAGAGCCATGAATTTAATATTAGGACCAGAAGTCCAAGAATTTTGTGTGAACTATTTAGATGATCTAGCCATTATTACAACAGGAACGTTAGATAAACATTTGGAGCACATTGATATTGTTTTAAGTAAATTGAACAAAGCTGGCTTAACGTGTAACTTGCAGAAATGTGAATTTATTTGTAAAGAAATTAAAATGCTGGGTTTTATAATTTCAACAGAAGGCATAAAGACAGATCCCGATAAGATTCGAGCGATCCAAGAGTTTCCAGCACCTAAAAAGATTAAACAATTAAGGGCCTTTTTAGATCTATGCAATTTTTATAGAAGGTTTATACCAAATTACAGCGAGAGCATAATACCGCTCTGTGAATTACTTAAAAAGGGACGAAAGTTCAAATGGAGCGGTAAAGAACAGAAGGCATTTGATTTTATAAAACAACAATTAATTAATACAATACAATTGCATCATCCAGACTTTAATAAGCCGTATTATTTACAAGCAGATTGTTCCGGTGTGGGTATGGCCGGAGTACTATATCAGATAGATGATAATAATGAAATGAGAATTTTAGGCTATCATAGTAAAGCCTTAAAAGGCCCCGAATTAAATTGGTCTGTTACTGAACAAGAGTTTTATGCTGTAATAAGCTGCCTAAAGAAATTTAAAACATATTTGCGGGGCAGTAAAGTAATAATACTAACTGATCATAAAGCATTATTGTTTCTTAATAATATGAAGTTATTCAATGGTAGAGTAACCCGATGGATTTTGTATATAGAACAATTTAATTATGAAGTACAGCATATATCGGGTAGACGTAATATTGTTGCAGATGTGCTATCACGTTATCCTCCTGATGGCGATTTAATACAAGAGGATAAAAATAATAGTTTAGAAATTGCTTACACAGAGAGCGAACCGAATATTGAGTTGATAGAAAAATTAAAATCCTTAACAGTATATCAATTACAAGATTCAGAGTCGTTGGCTATTATTGAAAAGTTAAAGACATTAAATACTTCCATAATAAAACAAAACAATAAATTTAAAAGATATAGTTTGAAAAATGATGTATTATATTACAAAACGAATTTACAAGAAGTAATATATTTACCTAAAGCATTGAGACAAGATATTATAAATCAAGTACATGTCGAAATGGGTCATCAAGGACCCTATAAGGTAATTAAATATGTGAGAGACAGATTCTTTTGGAAAGGTTTAACAAAAGATATTAAAAACAATTTTTATAGAAGGTTTATACCAAATTACAGCGAGAGCATAATACCGCTCTGTGAATTACTTAAAAAGGGACGAAAGTTCAAATGGAGCGGTAAAGAACAGAAGGCATTTGATTTTATAAAACAACAATTTATTAATACAATACAATTGCATCATCCAGACTTTAATAAGCCGTATTATTTACAAGCAGATTGTTCCGGTGTGGGTATGGCCGGAGTACTATATCAGATAGATGATAATAATGAAATGAGAATTTTAGGCTATCATAGTAAAGCCTTAAAAGGCCCCGAATTAAATTGGTCTGTTACTGAACAAGAGTTTTATGCTGTAATAAGCTGCCTAAAGAAATTTAAAACATATTTGCGGGGCAGTAAAGTAATAATACTAACTGATCATAAAGCATTATTGTTTCTTAATAATATGAAGTTATTCAATGGTAGAGTAACCCGATGGATTTTGTATATAGAACAATTTAATTATGAAGTACAGCATATATCGGGTAGACGTAATATTGTTGCAGATGTGCTATCACGTTATCCTCCTGATGGCGATTTAATACAAGAGGATAAAAATAATAGTTTAGAAATTGCTTACACAGAGAGCGAACCGAATATTGAGTTGATAGAAAACTTAAAATCCTTAACAGTATATCAATTACAAGATTCAGAGTCGTTGGCTATTATTAAAAAGTTAAAGACATTAAATACTTCCATAATAAAACAAAACAATAAATTTAAAAGATATAGTTTGAAAAATGATGTATTATATTACAAAACGAATTTACAAGAAGTAATATATTTACCTAAAGCATTGAGACAAGATATTATAAATCAAGTACATGTCGAAATGGGTCATCAAGGACCCTATAAGGTAATTAAATATGTGAGAGACAAATTCTTTTGGAAAGGTTTAACAAAAGATATTAAAAACCAATTAAGGGCTTGTCATTTATGTCAGTTATCTAAGAAAAGCAATATAACATATGTGGGTCCCTGCAAATCTATAATAACAGAAAACATTGGCGATATAGTCATGGCAGACTTATATGGACCACTTGTATCAGGTACCTTTGGGTACACCTTCATATTTGTCATTCAAGATTCATTCAGTAAATTTATCAAATTATATCCTTTAAAACAGTCAACAGCAAAGTCTCTTGTAACAAAAGTAAAGCATTTTGTTGAGATTATAAAGCCCAAGGCAATAATGACAGATAATGGAAAACAGTTCGTAAGTAATCACTGGAAACAATCAATGAGTGAATTAAATATAAAGCCAATATATACCACAGTTAGAAATCCTAGACCAAATACAACAGAGCGAGTAAATAAAGAGTTGAGCAGATTATTTAGGACGCTTTGTCATACTAACCACAAAGATTGGGCGTTAATATTGCCGAAATTAGAAGAATTGTATAATAATTCTTATCACAATAGTACAGGCTTCACGCCTTGTGAGATTCTATAAGGTGAGTCTAATGAGATGTCTTTTGACAAATTAATTTCCAAAAGTAAAGACAAACATAATGTCGAACAAATTAGACAACAAGTGCGTAAAAATTTAAAAGAGGCAAGTCGAATAAGAAACACAAAATTTGATAAGCGAAATAGATTAATAAAATATAATATTGGTGACTTAGTAAAAATTTCAAGATCTAGTAGAGCAGACGCTGATAATAAAGTTATGAGTAAGTTCAATTTGGCATATGAAGGACCTTATGTAATAGCAGCCGTACCATTTGACAATGTATATACCTTAGCAAATCCAGAGACAAACGAAATTAGAGGAATTTTCAATGCTATTCACTTATTAAAATATTTTAAATAATAATTTCTTTTTGTATAAATTAGAGTAATTAAATAAATATTGTAACATAAAAGGGTTTTGTGGGTGGCCCATGGAAATAATTGTTTAAGTTAAAGGTCTAAAATTATTAAAGTTATGAGCAAGAGATTTGTTATATGATAGTAGAACGTTATTAATATATAATGAAGAGTTGTAAATATAGATCGTAAGATAATTTTGTAATCATTTTTATTAAATAAATATGGGAGTTGGGTCAGGGCGAATGGCTCAAACACATTTATCCTATGTGGTATCGAACTGACCTCAACAAATATCAAACTGGATTGTATGCACATAAAGTGTGACACTATCGAAATAATGTTTCAAAGATTTAAAGATAAATTAATAAAATAAGAAATCGACAATTGACTGCAAACTTTATTAACAACACGATATACAATAACTTGAATTATGGTGTTATCACATTATGATAATTGTGGTTGAAGGGGTGTTGGTGGCGGCCATTCCCTGGGGCAGGGGGATTTAATAACATATGCCGTATTGTAACACATTAAAAGAGGAAAGAACAGATATATAAACAATTATTTGAGTGTAGTGTATATGCTCTCAAAATACTAAAATTTTATATTAACGCCTCCACTATGTGGATCATTAACATAAAATTTGGGGGTGGATTGTGACGCCTCATAATTATTATTAATAAATAATAATTAAATTAATTATACAGACATTTAAAAATGTCATAGAAATTATAATTTAAACAATAAAATGCAAATAATAAGCATAGAGTTCAAAAATATCCATTTGGAATATTGAATATTATATATATTAGTAAACGCATAAAATGTCTCTAAAAATCTCTAAATTTATTAAAAACCTGCTTAAAATGTTCAAAATGTATCAAATCATATAAATACAAGGCGATTATATTGCAATAACAAAGATAAATAACATTTGTAACATAATAGAAAAAATGGATTAAAATTTTCTAAGTTGATGAAGGTGTTCGTGTAATAATTGGAAAATTTCTAAGTTAATGAACGTGTTCTTGTAATGTTCCCTTATATTGGGGCGTTGTCGGAGACACATACCCAAGGTTGTACATATATATGGGGTGGTCGGCTGACCGACTGCTAGTACTAAGGTTGCACAATGACTAGTCCTATATTAGGGACTTAACATAGTAAGGTCTGACGAACCAAAGCATTAATATAGAAGGTCTCTATGATGCATAAGCATTATGATAGCAGAGTTATGACTTGAAGTCCCATATGAATAAGACATACAGTAGTATGGTCTATGAAATAAAGCAAATATGTGGAAGGTCTCAAATATGTAAAAGCATTATATTGAAAGAAATGGGACTTGAAAAGGATTATTATAGTGGCGTGTAGGTTGCTTCGCAGCCTCTGAGACCGAAGTAAACTTGGACTCACTAACCGATGTGTCCTAGACATATCATCTTAGTGCCGGTGGTAAGCGGGTTTGTTGTAGCAATACGAATTGCCCGTGGACATCGCACACCCCTACCGGTTGTGGGCGGCGTCTTAGCGCATAGCGTTATGATACGTCGGCTATCTTTCGGATTAGGGTGAGTGTGTTTGGTAGTACTTTTAAGTGCAGCAAGCATACTCAACTTCATGTCTTAGTGCAATAGCGCTATGATACGTGGAGTATTGGCTACTGACGTCTTAGTACCGTGCCACTATGATACGTTGGTGGTATTTTTAGTTAACAACATTATCAAATTTTGTTACCAAAGTCGATAGGGATCATGTGGGTGTGTTGTGAGGGGGCGCCATCCGTATGATAGTTGCATTGATGCTTACTGCTACTTGCAGTATTGTGTCTTGTGATGGATCTGCGGGTGTGCTGCACCTGATTCGATGCATCTTGTGGTTCTGGTCGATGGAGGTATGCGGGTGGTGATGTCTGCTGGGACTGTATGGGGGACCTTGGGATGGTGTAAGCCCGACGATAGTCGTATTGATGCTTGTTGCATTCTGTAGCATTGCGTCTCTACGATGGTTGTTTGGCGGGTCGCTATTCTCAATGGCGCTCTCTGCGTCTTGGTTTGACTCACAACCTAAGTAGCTTTGCCCAAGTCGGGTCCCTTCATTGCGGGGCTGCAGACTGTCTGCCCTCCATGATGTTTTATATAACAACTTAATAATATATCTCTATAAAGTTCCCACCTTTGAGAGATTGAAGGCAACTTGTTGGTGGGTGAGACAAACATGATCGAAAAATGCATATACTCAACGTCAGTGACACAAACCCTTTCTGATGGCGAATTATTAATATTATCTTATAACTGCCTATTGGCTATATCTGCCATTGTATTGGTTGGTGGAGCATATGTGTTGACCTCATGCGGGTGGTAGCTGGAGGGAGAATCTGAGGAGGCTCTCAAGGCTGCGGCCGAAAGCCGCGCAACGTGGGACCCCATTCCCTTGAGGTGAGCGGTAGACTCATGACACGCTCTGCGGCCAATTGGCCGTGCTGACCATGCAATTGGTGGTGATGCCTTACACTTACATCACGTCTGCAGGAACGGCGGTCTGGCAGGTGGTGGCGCTCACGGAAGGCTTTTTATGGTCAGTGTGCCTATTGTTGCCTAACCCGTGTGACGTACATTCACTGTGGCTGGATTTGATCGTATTCTGTATGGTGTTTACACGCATTGACATGCGCGACTTCGGTCGATGTTTGTGCTTACGCACTATCAAGGGGCCAAGTCCTCTTTTACTGGTTCGCCAGTTATTTTGCTGTGGACTACGGTCCAGTTCCCAACTTTGCGTACCCTTCGGGGGGAGCGCATTAAAATGGTTGGCGCTCACCGTGCGCGGCGTGTGTGGGGCCGTGTACCTCCTCCACATTTTTTTTAAAATGTGGGAGAGCGAAGCCCTTGTAACTGGTATTTGATATAAATATTGTGAACCTTTTCCAAGCGGGAAGGGATTAATTAATAAATAATTGACTGTTGTGAACCAGATACAAGTGGAATAGGGACAATTTATTGTTCTTAACCTTTTTGAGCTCTGTCTTCGTGAACGGGGTTCTTTAGCTTATAAGACTCTACCAAGAGCTTTCGATTGCTCTCGTGAATATTCATTCTTCCAAGATACACCTAAAAGAACTAAGTTACTATACAAACACAACGTAAAAAAGGGTCCTAACTAAGACGATCACGCCATAAATTTATTAAACGGCCTATATTTAAACCTTTAGAAAGATCAAGTTATACTGGTCACGTAAATTAGATGTATTTATATATCTTACAGATATAGATTCTAAAGAAATACAAGTATAAGTGGGATATAGTAGAAAAGAAAAAAGATGGGTGGGGGTGCGTTACACTGTCATTAATAATTCTATACATTGCGAAACTTTGACGAAATATACCAGACCCTATTTACCACGAAGTTTTAGAAAAATAGCATTTGACGCGGTTCACAATTTGAGCCATCCAAGTGTATGCACTACAAGAAAGTTACTTTGTCAATAATTATTTTGGCCAGGGATGAACAAAGCAACATCACCTGACCTTTGTGCTCACTCCAAAATTGTTACTATTGTTAATATGGGAAATGGGTAACAAGCGGTAGTAAGATGTGTAGTGATGCTACTCGTAAGAGGAGCCATTAATGATGTCGTTGAAAATTCTCATTCTACTCAGATGTGGAAATTCCTTAGAACTTTGGGTATAGGCAAATCATATAATGATTCTAATATTTCGTTGGATTTGACTGCACTCAACCGGCACTTTTCTGATCCTCGGATTTCTACTGATGACTCTAATTATTCTACTACACTTAATGTTCTCTCCAATATTTCTAAGCCGTTATGTTTTCTTTATAATTTCAGTAAAGTTACTGACGGTGACATTAAAACTGCCCTTTATCTATATCCACTAATGCTATTGGCTATGACAACCTTTGTATGCAAAGGATTAAACCTATCACTAATGAACTTGTCCGTATTATTATTCACATTATCTCTATTTCACTAAAGACCTACTTTCTGACTTGCTGGAAAAATACATTCATCATTCCCTTTCTAAAAACTTCTAATCCTACGTCTTTATCCCAATTCCGCCCTATTTCTATTCTTTCGATCTTATCTAAAGTACAAGAAAATATAGTTCAGAGGAAAATATCTCAATTTCTAACTGTTCTGTCTGCTGAGTCCTTTTCAATCTGGTTTTCGTACAGGCCATAGTACAGTCAGCGCTCTGATTAAAGTGTCTGATGATATTCGTTGGGCCACGGACAAAATATTTCTCATTGTACTAACATTATTGGATTCCATCAGTGCTTTTAATTCCGTTAATTATGACATATTTCTTGGTATTCCTTTGCTCTTAAAAATTTCAGCACGAGTAATATCTTTGTTTAATTCTTACCTTAGGGGTTACTCGCAGAGTGTCCGCCATGAGAATGATTTTACCGAGTGGTGTAATCTTACGGCAGGTGTTCCTCAGTGTGGTGTTCTTTCCCTACTTCTCTTCTCTATTTTCATCAATGCTCACTACTATTTTCTCCTCTCATTATTCCGTCATTTCAAAGTCAAAGATATAGACTTGGCTTATTAACTGAATGCTGACTTAAGTATCATAAGCAGTTGGGCAAAATCGTTTGGTCTTATTGTTAAAGCTTTTT